GTGTGGTGTGCTGGGATGTGTGGGGAAACTGGGGTTTGTGCTGGGTGTGGTGAGCTGGGCTGTGCGCTGGGTGTGCTGAGATGTGAGGACGCGCTCCCGACCGTGGCTCCCCCCTCCCCTCCCCGCCCCCTTCCCTTCGTTCCGACGGGCCGTGCTGCCCCTGTTCCCCCCGTGGCCCCCTCCCTTGATTCCGACCGACCGTACCCCCCCTCCCGCTTCTTGATTCCGGCCGACCGTGCCCCCCCCTCCCCCTCCCCCTCCCCATGGCTCCCGCTTCACCCCCGGCCTCCCCCCCCCTTATTCCGACCGGCCGTGCGCCCCCTCTCCCCCCGTGACCCCCTCCCTTTCTTTCGACCGAGCCATGCCCCCCCCCCCCCCTCCCCCCGCATACCCCGTTTACCACCCGCCGCCCCCCCCTTTTTATTCCGACCGACGTGCTCCCCCCCCCCACCCCCCCGAGCCCCCCTCTCTCCTTATCCCGCGAACCGACCTTAAACCCCCCCACTCAACCGTTTCGCACCTTGGCCCCCCCTCTCTCCCCCTCGCGCCCACCCCTTCCCTTACTCCGGCCCCCGCCCCACCCCCCTCCCCCTTCTCGAGTTCCACCGACCGTGCCCCCCTCCCCAACTGTCCCCACCGTGACCCTCCCAGACCTTCTGCCGACACACGACCGTAGCCCCCGCGGCTGCCCCGTGGCCCCCCACTTCCCCTTCCCGCCCCCATACCCCTTCTTCCGACGCGCCGTGCCCCCCCCCCCCCCCTCTTCCCCAGGCCCGCTGCCCGAACCTCGCTGCCCACCCACCCGCCCCCCATCCTTCTGTTCCGACCGCCGGTGCTCCCCCCCCCCTCCCCCGTCGCCCCCTCCACTATTTCGCCCGACCGCGCCCCTCCCCGCTGCGCGACCGCACTCTGTCGTTTCCCCCCCCCCGCCGCCATTCCTTTTTTTTCCGACCGACCGAGGCATCGTTACCCTCGTGCCCACCCCCGCTCCCCACGCCATCCGACCGACCGACCCCCCTCACCGCGCCCGACCTTGTCCCCCCCGTTTCTCCTCTCGACCCTCGCTCGCCGCCCACTTATCCTCCTAGTCCACCTCCCCCCTCTTGATTCCGACCAACCCGTCCCCCCCCGTCCCCCCGTGGACCTCCATGTTCCGACCGACATCCCCCCCCCCCCCCCACGTTCCCCGATCGTGCATCCCCCTCCCCCCTTCTCTCACCCAGACCGCCCGTGCTCCCCACTTGCCCCTGGTGGCCGTCTCCCTTTCTACCGACCGACCTTGTCCCCCCCTCCTGCCCGGATGTGACAATCCGCTCCCCCCCCCCGCCCCTGTCCTGAAGTCATGGCCGGCCGTGCCCCCCCTCCCCGCGTGGGCCGCTTCCCTTCGACCGATCGTGCCCCCGATTCCCCCCCGCACTCCTCTCGCGATTCCGGCCTGCCGTGCCCCCCCCCCGTGGCACCCGCTGCCCTTGATCCGACCGACAGTGGCCCCCCTGCTGCCGGACCGTGGCCCCCGCCCCTCGACCGACCCACCGCCCCATACCTTTATTCCGACCGACCGTGCCCCCCCATCCCCCGCTGCCCGACTGGGCCCCCTCGCTCTCCTCCTCCCGCCCCCTTCCCTTATTCCGACCAGCCGTGCCCCCCGCCGCCCCCTTCCTTCTTCCGACCGACTGTGACCCCCTCCCCTTCACTTCTCGACCGACCGCGCGCTCCATGTTCCATATTCCGACCATGCCCCTTATTTTGCACGACCGTGCCCCCCCCCCCCGTCCCTTCCCGACCGTGCCCCTTGTTCCGACCGAACCGTGCCCCCCCCTCTCCAAATTCCGACCGACCCCCCCCCCCCCCCCCCGCTGCCCGACCGTGGCCCCCCCTTTCACCTCCCCCCTCCACCCCTCCACTTCTTCATCCAACCGACCGTGCCCCCCCCCCCCCCCCGCGGCCCTCACCCCCTTGATATAAACGTCGCGACCGTCCGTGCCCCCCCTCCCTTTTTCTCCGCCTGCCCAACCGTGCCCCCGCCCCCTAGCACACCGATGCCCACGGCCCAGTTGACGAAACCACGCCCCCATTAGCCCTTATTCCGACCGACCGTGCCCCCTCCCCCCCCCGTGGCCACCTGTCCTTTACTCCGCCCGACCGTGCCCCCTGCCCCCCTCGTGGACCGCCCCAAGCAAACAAAGGCTGGCAATTGAAACTGCGCCAATTGAAACTGCGCAAACTTCCCCTCCTTGATCGAGATCGCCTTCAGATCGAAACCACGCGCTGCATTCGCACAACCATGCAGCGATTCGCCGCTCCCTCGTTAAACGGTTATGGTCACTCGCAAGACTGTCGCAGCACTCGCGCGCTTCTTCAAAACTGCCAAAGCCTGGCGCCATCGCCATCCGCGATTGTATGATCCTTGGCACGCGTGCCTCCTGCACATGTTTGTTCGCGTTGGTCCAAACGCTGAGATCCTTGCACATTCGATGTGCGTGCTGTGTGGTGTAAGAACTGTGGTGAATCCTGAAACGCGAACCAGTTCCTGGGGGACGGGGGCACGAGGCCGACAGGGGCAGGCACGGGGGAACACCTGCAAACGCGCGCCAGCGGAAGGCGCGGGCACCGATCGAAAACCTGAACACCCGGCCAATTACGGAGGAAGCCAATAAGAACCCCTCAAAGCAAGCGCTGTTGGGTGAATCGCAAGAAAACGAATTGGGATGGACGACGGAGAAAGGCAGGATGGACTGGGAGGATGTATGGGGGGAGCAGGGGGGAGAGGGAAAACGATCAGGCCATAGCTCTCTCCCGCTGCCTCTCTCCCCTTCCCTCCTCCGCCTCCGTTCCGCCACTGCCCCCCTCCCCGCCGTGCACCCTGTCATCCCCCTCCTCCTCCTCCTCCTCCTCCTCCTCCTCCTCCTCCTCCCCGCCGCAGCAGTGCGCCATTCGCAGGCTTCTGACCAGCAGCCGGCCGCCGAGAGAGGAGAGACGGCCCTCCCCCCCTAGAGCCCCATCGCCCCCCTCCCCCTCCCCATTTCCTCTTCCCTTTATCCCCGAACTCCTGGGCTTCCCCCCCCCCCCCGCCTCTCCCCCCTCCCTCGCCTCCCTCGCACTCCCCCGCCCCCCCTCTTCTCCCCCAGCCCCCTCCCCGCCTCCCTCGCGCTCCCTTCCCACCCCCCTCTCCCCAGCCCCCTCGCCTCCCTCCACCAACTCTCCCTCCTCTCACCCCCCGCCCAGCCTCCCCATCCCCTCCCTCTCTTCCCACCCTGCTGCCTTGCAGAAGGAGCTCGACCGCAAGAAACCTTCCACAGGAAACCCAACCCCGAGAGCCCAGGGCGTCCATTGATTTTTGGTGTGGGAACGTCACGCGTTCCATAGCAAAACCATCGAAACCCAAGAAACCTGGGGCACCCTGGAGGCAAGCAGGATGTTTCTTGGCATGGGCTTCCAGTGCACCACCCCCGACGTAACCCATTTTCACGTTTCGAACATTTCTGTTTGCGCGCCGAGCGCTCTCTGCGCCCCATCGCGCCACCGCCCTCGAGGAAGGGCACGTTTGCAGCTCAGGCCGCGACGCGCGAAGCGCGACCCTCCTCGCGCCCCTGGGGGTTGACCCAGCCTCTCCAAGCTCGGGCCCTGCCAAAAGTGCCCCCCCCGCCCGAGGTGCCCCCAGGATTTCCAGGGAAGCCCCCGCGGCCTCCCCAGCACCCCCCACGGGGCCCGAGGGGCCCCAAAGTGGAGGTAAAAGCTGGGGACACCCTCGGCCACGGCCACCTGTGGCAACCCTCGACCTGCCCACCACCCGCCCCCCTTGAATAGGAGGATACGGTGGAAGGAGGAGGACGGGGAGGAGGAGGAGGAGGAGGAGGAGGAGGAGGAGGAGGAGGAGGAGGAGGAGAGGAGGAGGAGGAGGAGGAGGAGGAGGAGGAGGAGGAGGAGGAGGAGGAGGAGGAGGAGGGGAAGGGGGAGGGGGAGGGGAGGAGGAGGGGAGGGGGAGGGGGAGGAGGGGGCGGAGGGGGAGGGGGAGGGGGAGGGGAGGGGGAGGAGGACTAGCTAGGGGCGCTCGGGTCATCTCTGGGTCTCGTACCCCCCTCCCATCCTTTTGCCATGGCGTGAAGGGCCCCTCTTCGCACAATCGGATGTCGCAGCGTGGTATAGCATTACGTGGCATAGCATGGCCTTGAATACCAACGCGTAGCATGACATAGCATGGCGCGGCGACGCCCCAAAAGGGGGGCGGGGATTCTGCGACCCCAAATCCATGAAACGACACCGGATGTGCAATCACATCCGCTGTTTTTCTGGGGGGCATGATTCGGAACGAGGGGAAGTGCGGAAATGAGGCTGGTGCTGCAGCGGAAACCCGGTTCGGAGGGAAGAGGAGGAGGAGGAGGAGGAGGAGGAGGAGGAGGAGGAGGAGGAGGAGGAGGAGGAGAAGGATGAGGATGTGGAGAGGAGGAGGAAGAGGAGGAGGAGGAGGAGGAGGAGGAGGAGGAGGAGGCGGAGGAGGAGGAGGAGGAGGAGGAAAAGGAAGGGGAAGAAAAGAATGGATGGATGGAGCATCATCAAAAGAGGCCCTGGCGACCGTCTGCGCGCAGACGACCGCCAGGGCCACAGATGTCTTCAGAAGGGCCCCGCGCCATCGCGAGCGCGCCGCGCAGACGCCGTGGCGACGAGGGGGACGGCCCCGAAGCAGCCCGACAGGCGCCCGACCGACCCTGGCCTACTCAAGGGCGGTCCAGGGGGACGGAAGCCACCCCCGCGGACAAAAGCGGGCGCCCCGAGCAGCCTCCAGCGGCCGCCCCCGCAACCCGACGGGGGAACGCGACGGCCCCCCTCGCCCGCGCCGAGGGGCGCCGACCAAAATCTCGAGGCGAACGCAGCAGACAGAGCGAGGGCCCGCCCGAGCGCTCACCTCCCGCGTGTCGCCGCCCTGGCCAGCCTGGCCTTCGCGGCAAGGCGAGCCCGCTTGACCACCTTCGCCTGCTCCAGTTCCCTGGCCATGTAGCGACCTGAGCCTCGAACTGCTCGCGGTCGGCGATTGCCCCGGTCTGGCGCGCGTGCCTCTGCGGCACCGCGAGGCGCCGCCTCCCACCGACGACCGTGCGCTCGTCGAACGGGTCGGGGGCGGCCTCGCTGAGGCCGTCTCGGGGCCGGCTCCACAGGGGGCAGTCCAGCGCCTCGACGCCCTTCACGTCGCCCGCGCCGTTGTCGATCTCCTCCGCGACTCCGGCGCGTGGCAATGCGCGTCGGCCTCCAGCCCCGCCGCCTCCACGGCGGCAGCAGTCTTAATCTGGGGTTCCTCCACCTCCTCCAGCGCCTCGCCGACCTCGCGGCCGTCGACGTCCTGGACCACCTCGCTGCGCCTACGAAGAAGGGCAGCCTCGTTAACCATCAGGTAGCGCCCGACGCCTCCGAGGTCCGCAGCGGCGTGACGGGAAGAGGAAGCCGTACAAGTCGTGCTGCGCGCCGTGCCAATACCGCCGAAGGCCGCGCCTGACTCGAGCGCCAGCTCGCCGGCAGACCCGCCGAGGGACGGCGCGCGGCGGGCGCTGGGCGCAGAGCCGACGCCATCCTCGCGAACGAGGGTCGCGTCCACCGCCTCCTGCGCGTCGAGCGCGGCGGGGTCGGCGGCGTTGAAAGGGACTCCCGCCTGGACGGAGCGGCCCGCGTCGCGCGCGCCGTCGAGGGAGGGCAGGAGTGGCTCGGCGGCAGCGGGTTGAGCGTGGGGAACAGCGCCGGCGTCGGCGTCCTCGTCTCCCCCGCCGCTCCACCTCCACCAGCGCGCTCCCGACGCCAAGGGCAGAGGCCTCGGCTCGGCAGCGCGCCTCACGCGCTCGGCCAGCGCGAAGACGGTGCCTGGCGGCACGCCGAGCCCGCGACGGCGCGCCAGGGTTCAGTGGAGCGGCGCCGCATCGGAAGCAGCGCGCGCAGACGGCACGCGGCGGACGGGCGCCGCCGTTACCGTCGGCGGCCTCCTCTCGCGGGGCCGCTGCCCACTAGGATGAAGACCAGCTTCAGCAGGGCGGCGAAGATGAAGGCGGGCGCCGTCGCGTACCTCAATTCCGCGAGCGTGCCGAGGCTGACCTCCGCGTCGTCCCAGCCGTGCAGACCTCTGCACGCGATGCCTAGCACCTCGCTGGATGCTGCTGAGCTCCGCCTTGCCAGCCTTCTGGATCACCGTGACGGCGGTGCTGAAAACGTGCGCCGCCGTGTTGCGCCGTTGTTTGCCCAGCGCCTGCACGCAGGGAACGAGCATCGGCGCTTCGAGGGCTAGCCGCCCGACCAGCTCGCTCCTCAGCTTGTCGTCTGCCTCCCCCATCGCGTCCGTGCCTGCCAGGGCCACGGCCTGCTGGGCCGCCGCCTCGTGCACCTCCAAGGTATTCCTGAATTTTGCCTCGACCTCCGCGACTCTGGACTCGAGCACTTTCGCGCGCTCGAGGGCGGCCGACTGGCGGCCAGAAGCCGCCAAGCGTGCGGCCGCCTGCCTGGCGCGCCGCGCAGGCCAAAACGACCCGCCGCCGTTGCTGGGCTGCTCCGCCGCTTTGGGGGCGGCCAGGCAGCCGACCGCAGTCATCCCATAAACGAGTCTCAACGGCAGAGCGCGGGGCGGACGCGGCCGAGGCAGGGCTGAGAAAGGCTAGAGCCAAAAAGGCTGCGGAGAAGAGGGAAGAGGAGAAAGAGGAAGAGGAGGAGGAGGAAGAGGAAGAACAGGAAGAGGAGGATAATGAGGAGGAGGAGGAGGAGGAGGAGGAGGAGGAGGAGGAGAAACAGGAGGAGGAGGAGGAAGAGGAGGAGGAGGAGGAACAGGAAGAGGAGTGGGGGAAGGAAGAGGGAGAGGAGGAGGAGGAGGCGGAGAAAGGAGAGAAGGAAGGAGGCAAGGAGGGGGGAGGAGGGAGGGCGGGGTGGAGGGGGGACCAGGCGGGAGAGGAGGACGGAGGGAGGGGTGGAAGGGGGGGGGAAGGAGGGCGAGGAGGAGGATGGAGGAGGCCCCCTTCTCCCTCCAGAGAGCTCGAACTGGCGGAGGGCGCCCTCGACGTCCTCGAGGGCCTGCGGGCCGCGCACGTCCGCGCGGCGCGCGGGATCGGCGACGCGCGGCGGCAACGACGACGACGACAACGGTCTCCTCCTCCTCCTCCTACTCCTCCTCCTCCTCCTCTCATCCTCTCCTCCCCCTCCTCCACTTCTCCTCCTCCCTCCTCTTCTCCTGCTCTTCCTCGCCCCGTCCTCCTGCCTCCTCCTCCTCCCTCCTCCTCCTCCTCCTCATCCTCCTCAAGTTCTCTGCCTCCTCTCCTCCGTTCTCCTTTCTCCTCCTCCCTCCCTCCCTCCTCCTCCTCCGCTCTCCTCTTCGCCTCCTCTCCCTCCTCCTCGTCGTCCTCCTCATCCCTCCTCCTCGTCTTCCTTCCGTCTTCCGCCCTCCTCCTCCTCCTCCTCCTCCTCCTCCTCCCCTCCAGTTCCTCCTGCTCCTCCTCACCCTCTCCCATCCCTTCCTTTCTCGCTACCTAAGCCGCAAGGAAGGGCTCCGCAGCGTTTGGCTCAGAGACGTTCGCACCGCCCTGCGCGCACCAGCGGCCGCGCTCTCCGCACAATCGCCCACGCCCAGGCTCTCATTTGCGGCTTCATCTTAACTGACCTTGGGCTATGGCCACCAAACCCTTTAAACACAATCCTCCCCGCCGCCCCCAAGGAATGTTAGCAGGTCGGACCAAGCATTTCGATGTAGACCTTCGCATTACTTACGGTCCTTAAGCTGAGAAGTTGCAGCAACTTCACACATGGAGGGCGGATCGTTTTCAAAATGCTAATTTCGCTTTAGCGCCGCACGCAATCGTCTCAGACAAACGCTAGAACACTCACGGATGGAGGGCTGGCCGTTTTCGGAATGCGGTACTCGCAAACGCCGCGCGCCTTCGTCATCATCATGTACGAGGAATTCACGAATGGAAACGGGCGGTTTGAAACACATGAAATTATCGCTATGGCGCAGCGCACATTCGCCCTAAACGTATGTAAGAATTTCACAGATGGAAGGCGTGCTTTTGCTTTCTCATCTGGTTCTCGCGCTCGCGCCGCGTAGTCATTTAAAACAAAAACACAAACATCCCGGATGGGGGTGGTTCCTTTTCAACATGTGGTGCTCGCCTCAACGCCGCGCACTCTCGTTATAAGAATTTACGGCTAAGCCAACGATGATCAAAGATATTGTCTCAAGAACTACATTCTGGCAAGGTGCCAGACCGTCAGGGCGCAACGATTACGTTGATTCGCGGTGTTCAAGTCCCAAGAATGGTGTGCTGGCACGGTTCAAGATCGTCAAGACGCAACAGTAATGTGAGTTCGCGGCGTGGGAACCCAGGACTTATGTTGTGGCACGGTTCCGGATTTTCAAACGGCTCTTTCAACGGGGCATTTCCTTCAGTAGGGACCATGACAAGGGAAAACCTGGTTGAAATACCTTTGGTGCGCCTTGGGTTTGCACTGGTCCTCCTCCTCCTCCTCCCTCTCCTCTTCCTCCCTTTCCTCCTCCTCCTCGATCCGTGTACTTGATGGATAACTCCTCCCCGGTGTATTCCGAGACGAATCCACAGGCTGGGCCGGGCATTTCGCCTGGACTTAGGCTCCGTAAACTTGGAATGTGCAGCGGCTTCGTGGCTGGAGGGCGGGTCGCTTTCACAATGTGTCTCTCGCCTTCATGCCGCGCACATTCTTCTTCCATGTCCGCAAGAGCTTCACGGGTGGAGGGTGGGTCGTTTTCACCATGTGGCTATCGCCGTGGCGCGGCTCACAGTCGTCTCACGAATTTGCAAAGAGCTTCGCGGATGCCGGGCGGGTCGTTTTCAAAACGTGGCTCTCGCTTACGCGTCGCGCGCACTCGTCTGAAAGTTTGCAAGAGCTTCGCGGATGGAGGGCGGTTGGCTTTAACTGCACCAGAAAAGAAGCCACCCCATCTCAACTACGGCCCCACGGGGCTTAGCGTTGTGGATGCCATGACCATGGACACTCTAACACTCCGATCATTAATTTAACAATGTGTGTTGACATGTGTAAAACATGTTCCAAAAATATACCAGGCATGTTAAAAATGTTTAAAACATGTTCAACCGATGCTTTAGACATCTGGAAATTATTTGGCAGCAGGCTTCCTCCATGGATCGACTTCCACAGGCTTAGCGTATACCGAGGGAGCTGGCGTGGGGCTTTTGCATGGTATGCGCCACGGCCCTCGACGGGCCGTGGCGCAGCATGGAGATCGGTGGCAACGGGGCGATGCCGTTTGTTCCCAACCATCCTGTGGTGTTGGGACCTCGTTTTGAAGAAACGGTCCCCGCGTTCATTCTTCCTCCTTCTCCTCGCCCTCCTCCCTCCTGCGTTCGCATGCCTCCCCACCACCCATTTCGGCACACCCCTCACACGTTTTGTTGCCCCATGGGGAGCTCCACCGAAGGCCCCAGTGGCTGCGTTCGCATGCCTCCCCACCACCCATTTCGGCACACCCCTCACACGCTTCGTGGCCCCATAGGGAGCCTCACCCAAGGCCCCCGTGGCTGCGTTCGCATGCGCCCACCGCACCCAGTTCGGCACACCCCTCACACGTTTCGTGGCCCCATAGGGAGCTCCACCGAAGGCCCCAGTGGCTGCGTTCGCATGCCTCCCCACCACCCATTTCGGCACGCCCCCTCACACGTTTCGTGGCCCCATAGGGAGCTCCGCCGAAGGCCCCAGTGGCTGCGTTCGCATGCCTACCCACCACCCATTTCGGCACACCCCTCACACGTTTCGTGGCCCCACAGGGAGCTCCACCGAGGCCCCAGTGGCTGCGTTCGCATTGCCTCCCCACC